TGGATCACAAGGTCAAGAGATCGAGACTATCCTGGTCAACATGGTGAAACCCCGTCTCTACTAAACAAAACATTAGCTGGGCATGGTGGCGCGTGCCTGTAATCCCCAGCTACACAGGAGGCTGAGGCAGGAGAATTGCCTGAACCCAGGAGGCAGAGGTTGCGGTGAGCCGAGATTGTATCATTGCACTCCAGCCTGGGTAACAAGAGTGAAACACTGTCTCAAAAAAAAAAAAAAAAAAAAGAAGCACAAAGAACACCTGGGAAATTCATCGCAAAAAGATCATTGCCTAGGCACATTGTCATCAGATTATCTAAAGTTAAGATGAAAGAAGGAATCTTAAGAGCTGTGAACCAAAAACACCAGGTAACCTTTCCAAAAACACCAGGTAACCTATAAAGGAAAAACTCATCAGATTAACAGCAGATTTCTCAGCAGAAACCCTGAAAGCCAGAAGGGATTGGGCCCTATCTATAGCCTCCTCAAGCAAAATCGTTATCAGCCAAGAATTTTGTATTCAGCAAAACTAAGCTTCATATATGAAGGCAAGATACAGTCTTTCTCAGACAAACAGAGAAATCACCACTACCAAGCCACCAGTATAAGAACTGCTAAAAGGAGCTCTAAATCTTGAATCAAATCCTGCAAACACATCAAAACGGGACCTCTTTAAAGCATAAATGTCACAGGACCTATAGAACAAAAATACAATTAAAAAAACAAGCCAGGTATATACAGGCAGCAAATAGCCTGATGAATGGAATGAAACCTCACATCTCAATACTAACATTCAATATAAATGGCCTAAATGTTCCACTTAAAAGATACAGAATTGCAGAGTGGATAAGAATTTGCCAGCCAACTGTCTGTTGTTTTCACCTAACACATAAGGACTCACATAAACTTAAGGTAAAGGGGTGGAATAAGACATTTCATGCAAATGGACACCAAATGTGAGCAGGACATTCTTAGAACAAACCTTAAACTGTAGTTAAAAATGGCAAAGAGGGACATTATATAATGATAAAAGGCCTTGTCCAAAAGGAAAATATCACAATCCTAAACATACATGCACCTAACACTGGAGCTCCCAAATTTATAAAACAATTACTAATAGACCTAAGAAATGAGACAGACAGCAACACAGTCATAGTGAGATACTTCAATACTCCACTGACAGCACTAGACAGGTCATCAAGATAGAAAGTCAACAAAGAAACAATGGATTTAAACTATATCCTGGAACATTAATGGACTTATCAGATATATACAGAACATTCATAGGCTTAATGGCCTACATCAAAAAGTCGGAAAGAGCACAAACAGATACTCTAAGGTCACACCTCAAGGAACTAGAGAAACAAGAACAAACCCAGTAGAAGAAAGGAAATAACCAAGATCAGAGGAGAGCTAAATGAAATTGAAACAAACAAAAAATACAAAAGATAAGTGAAACAAAAAGCTGGTTTTTTAAAAAGGTAAATAAAATTGATAGACCATTAGCAAGATTAACCAAGAAAAGAGAGAAAATTTGAATAAGCTCAATAAGAAATGAAACAGGAGATATTACAATGGAAACCACAGAAATACAAAAGATCAGTCAAGGCTACTATGAACGTCTTTGTGTGCATAAACTAGAAAACCTAGAAGAGAGGGATAAATTCCTGGAAAGAAACAACCCTCCTAGCTTAAATCAGGAAGAATTAGCTACCCTGAATAGACCAATAACAAGCAGTTATTGGTAATAACATGAAATAGTAATTTAAAAATTACCAACAAAAAATGTCCAGGACTAGACAGATTCACAACAGAATTCTACCAGATATTCAAAGAAGAATTGGTACCAATCCTATAGATGCTATTCCACAAGATAAAGAAGAAACCCTTACTGAATCATTCTATGAAGCCAGTATCACCCTAATACCAAAACAAGGAAAGGTCATAACCAAAGAAGAAAACTACAGACCAATATCCCTGATGAACATAGATGCTAAAATCCTTAACAAAATACTAGCTAACCTTATCTAACAACATATCAAAAAGATAATCCACCGTGATCAAGGGGTTTTATACCACAGATGCAGGGATAGTTTCACATACACATACACATAGCCAAAGCAAGACTAAGCAAAAAGAACAAATCCGGAGGTATCACATTACCTGATTTCAAACTATACTATAAGGCCATTGTCACCCAAATAGCATGATACTGTTATAAAACTAGGCACATAGACCAGTGCAACACAATAGAGAATCCAGAAATAAACCCAAATACTTAACAGCCAACTAATCTTCAACAAAACAAGCAAAAACGTAAAGTGGGGAAAGTACACACTTTTCAACAATGGTGCTGGGATAATTTGCTAGCCACATGTAGGAGAATGAAACTGGATCCTCATCTTTCACTGTATATAAAAATCAACTCAAGATAGATTAAGGACTTAAATCTAAAACCTGAACCTATAAAAATTCTAGAAGATAACATTGGAAAAATCCTTCTAGACATTGGCTTAGACAAGGATTTCATGACCAAGAACCCCAAAGCAAATACAATGAAAACATATAGCTGGCACTTAATTAAATTGAAGAGCTTTTGCATGGCAAAAGGAACAGTCAGAAATAGACAACCTGCAAAGTAGAAACTCTTTCACAATCTATACATCTGACAAAGGACAAATATCCAGAATCTACAATGAATTCAAACAAATCAGCAAGAAAAAAAATCCCTTCCAAAAGTGGGTTAAGAACATGAATAGACAGTTCTTAAAAGAAGATATACAAATGACCAATAAATATATAAAAAATGCTCAACATCACTAATCACTAATAATCAGGGAAATGCAAATCAAAACCACAGTGTGATACCACCTTATTTCTGCAAGAACAGCCATATTCAAAAAATAGTAGATATTGTCGTGGATGCAGTGAACAGGGAACACTTCTACACTGCTGGTGGGAATGTAAACTAGTACAACCACTATGGAAAACAGTGTGGAGATTCCTTAAGGAATTAAAAGTAGAAGTATCATTTGATCCAGCAGTCTCACTACTGGGTATCCACCCAGAGGAAAATAAGTCATATGAAAAAGATACTTGCACACACATGTTTATAGCAGCACAATTTGCAATTGCAAAACATGGAACCAACCTGAATGCCCATCAATCAATGAGTAGATAAAGAAACTGTGGAATATGTATACAATGGAATACTACTCACCCACAAAAAAGGAATGAATTAATGGTATTTACATTGACCTGGATGAGATTGGAGACTGTTATTTTAAGTGAGGTAACTCAGGAATGGAAAACCAAACATCGTTTATATTCTCATAAGTGGGAGCTAAGCTATGAGGATGCAAAGGCATAAGACTGACACAATGGACTTTGGGGACTCGGGGAATGGGAAGGGGGTGAGGAATAAAAGACTACAAATTGGGTGCAGTGTATACTGCTCAGGTGATGAGTGCACCAAAATCTCACACATCATCACTAAAGAAGTTAACCAACACAAATGTACAAGACATTTGTTTATTTATTTCCGTAGGTTATTGGGGAACTATGATAGTAAATAAATGTTTTGTATGTTTGTGCTTAAATTGGTCTTTAATACTTGCCTTTTGGTATTCTGTAAGTTTGGATTATAAAATAGTTTTGGTTTTTTTTGTATTTTCTACTGTAAGCCTATATGATTATGTAACGGTGAGTAAAATTGTTAGGCCAGATATGTGGTTCTAGGAAATTATGTAAAGCTGTGCTGTAGTATATGCTTTTCTACATTTTTTAAAGTCATTTTGAGCTTGGCTTTTGAGCCTCTGTTTCTCAAGATGAGGTTTATGTTTTTATAATGTTGTACTTAGCCCTTGTTTATTTTCATCTCTGAGTTTGAAATTGTGGTTATATTGGCAAAGGGAGGTTTGGGTTTTAATTATGTAACCTGTTAGAGGAAATGTTAAGTTTTTGTTTCTTTAGGGTAGACAATGAGAGATTTATCAAGATAAGGAAGAAAAATAAATCCTAAAGTTAATATCCTATACATGGTGATATCACCCATACTAAAGCCAAAGAGGGCATTATCCTATCATTCTCATCTCCAAGAACTCTTCTCTTGGCACACGCTTATTCAGTTAGAGATAATCCAAGCCTTTTTTGTATGTTTTTTAAGAGAACAAATTTACTTTGCTTTTGAGTTTTATTCCTGGCTCTGGTTAGCTTATTTTTTTAGCCTTATTTTCCCCAATTTATATGGAAATAGATATCTTCACTCCCCAGGATTCTTGTAACGAGTAAGTGAAAAGATGAAATGAGGTGACTCAGGCAAAAGTACCTGGCTCTGTATAGTCAGTACACTGTATGTGTTACAGTCATTCTTATTGCTGAGAATCCACAAATGAATGAGTTAAATAATGAGGACCCTTTCATGAGGGTTTTTGAGTAAATTTTTTAAAATAGAAGGTAGTATTTTGTGTAAACACTAAACCCATTGATCACTTCTGCAGAATGTAGGAAATAGAGTTGCTAATTCCAAAAAAACAGCATATATGTTGAGAAAAATATACCTAATATATATGGCTTAGGCAATGTAAAATTCCATGAACATGTTCCTTTTTTTTTTTTTTTTTTTTTTGAGACAGTGTTTCGTTCTTGTTACCCAGGCTGGAGTGCAATGGCGCGATGTCGGCTCACCGCAACCTCCGCCTCTTGGGTTCAGGCAATTCTCCTGCCTCAGCCCCCTGAGTAGCTGGGATTACAGGCACGCACCAGCATGCCCAGCTGATTTTTTGTATTTTTAGTAGAGACGGGGTTTCACCATGTTGACCAGGATGGTCTCTATCTCTTGACCTCGTGATCCACCCGCCTCGGCCTCCCAAAGTGCTGGGATTACAGGCTTGAGCCTCTGCATCCGGCCGAATATGTTCCTTTCATCTTAAAACTTGTGATTTAAAAAAATGTGTTGACATTACTATAAAGAATTACTATTAATTATTTCTCTTGATTTACAGAGTATTGTTACAATCACATTTGAAGTACCAGGAAATGCAAAGGAAGAACAACTTAATGTATTTATTCAGGTAAATGCAATTTTTACTGATTAATGATTTATCAACAGTTTTGTTACGTAGTTGTTGCTATTAGCAATGGTTGGTCTTATTAAAATATGTCACTTGATACAGAATCTCCTGTGGGAAAAGACTGTGAGAAACAAGGACAATCACTGTATGGAGGTCATAAGGCTAAAGGTACAGTAGACTTTTAGACAAAGTCCTTTTCCTGGCTATTATAAAAACTATATTTGGTTTTAAACAGAAACACTGGTTTTAGTACAAATAATCTTTGTCTACTTTCATTTTTCTTTATTATTTTCATTGCTGAAAAGGAGCTTTGGAAATCACTGCATAAGACATGATTTATTTGCACAGCTTCCTTTAGGATTGCAGATAGAACAACCTATATGCTTTGAAATGTCACCTTCTGCTCTGTATTCCCAGGTACAGAAAAATAATGTTGCAGATCTTGCTGCTGCTGAACATTATGCTTCCTGATGCATTTAGCAGACACTAAACGTTTGTCATACTCTAAACGAAGTTACAAAGGACTAGAAGAACTCTTGTTCTGTGTTTAGAAACCCACTCATATGACTGGATATTTGGGTATTTATGTCATGAAAGATGTCTCTTCCAGGAAGCAGTGGTTCTAGGTGTTTGCTTAACCAGTCAGCAGTTGAGTGTCCACTCTTGTGTGTCCACAAAGTTTTTGGTATATTAAGAACATGATTTCAAAGAAATTAATTTCATCCCCATAGGAGCCAGTTTATCAGATAATTTGTTTTTCATTGCTGCAAATCAATACTAAATGAGCTTTTATTCAGATAGATATAATAGTTTTTCTTTATTTCATCATTGTCCATTGATTGCAACCTATTTCTAAACAGATTATTTAATATCACCAAAATCCTTTAACTTCTCAACTTTTCCCACTAACACTGTGAAACACTATATAAAATCTTTAAAATTAATCAATAGGATATAATACATTACATATTTTATTTCAGATTTTGATTGTGATAAATAACAGTGACAGACCATCCTAATATATGTATTCACTTTATCATTAGAAAAAGGGTTGTTCAAAAAAATCAATACACAGAAACCTTTTTTGAAAACTGAAAATTTTAAGAAACTTTTTATAATTCACAAATAATTGGAATTCAGTAATTTTGTCAGCTTAAGAGTTTGTATTTTTAAATGGATATAAATAATTCATCCATTAACATTGATGCTCTATTTCTGCTTTTAAGTTTGAGCTGAGGCTGATTAATGTTCAGTTAATTCTCCTTGAGCAGGGATTGGTGTCAATCAAAGACAAACCACAACAAGTGATTGTCCAGGGTGTCCATGAGCTCTATGATCTGGAAGAGACTCCAGTGAGCTGGAAGGGTGACACTGAGAGAACAAATCGATTGGTCCTCATTGGTAAGTAACAAAGGATTAACACTCCTAAAACAAAGTGATAAATATATTTAAAAGGGATATCAATGTGCCACTTAAACAGTATCCTCCTTTATAGCTAAGCTCATGGTCAATGTTTCATCTTTATCATGTTATAACATTCATAAGAACTTGTTAGGCCTTTTGTTCTCTTTCAGTTTTAGAAAAGTGATTAATCTAAGCACCAATGTGGTTTTGATGTACTTAACTAAAAAGTTAAAGATGGAATCACTCAATTACTATTCTTTTTGTAAATTTCTAAACATCATAAAGCTTTTAAAGAATTGGAATTGATAGGTGAACTGTGTCATTTTAATAAGGATAATGTAATCACATCATATCTCATTTATTTGCAGGCAGGAATTTAGATAAGGATATCCTTAAACAGCTATTTATAACTACTGTGACAGAAACAGAAAAGCAGTGGACAGCACTTTTCAAAGAAGATCAAGTTTGTACATAACACTCGAAGCATTTCTTATCAAAAGTATTGGAAAATAAAAGTTTCTACTGGGTATATTTCAAGCATTTATTTATTTATTATGAATGCCAGTATACTTTCAGATGGTATTTATTTTATAGCATACATAAAATTTAGCAAATCTGTACCGTAAAACATTTGATATTCATACAGTTATATACACTGTCCTCTTTTTTTTAAAGAATGGCATTTCACAAAAATATCTTTTGAAATTGGCTTTGGAGTTTACATATACTGAACATGAAAATTTATAATGATGATAAAACTTTCAACATTGTCATTTTTTTCTTAGAACTTCAGCTGATTGCAGAGATATAATGATTATATTGTTACTAAATTTTTTTTAAATAAGTAAATGTCACCATTTTATTACATGAAATAAAAGATTTGTTGTGGCAAGAGACTTTTAAAAGTGGAAGAGATCTGGGTCAAAGAAATTAAACTATCTCTTATTCTTAATGCTAAGCCTTATTTCGGCCATTTATTTTGTAATGTATTTAGAAGATTTCAATTGTAGAGCTGTTTTAAGTAGATTTTACTACTGGTATTAAATTCATCTTGGTTTTTGAACTTCTTTAGTTTTCAGTTTTCAGTATAAGCTAAAAAGTGATGAAGTACATGACTAGCTATAAACTTTAGCTAAGTTACAAATAACTTTTCATAGTTTAACAATATTTTTCAAAACTTTGTTTTTTTGTTTTTTTTTTTCAGAGACAGGGTCTTCTTCTGTTGCCCAGGCTAGAGGGCAGTGGCATGATTATAGCTCACTGCAGCATCAACTACTGGGCTCAAGTAATCCTCCCACCTTGCCTCCCCATTAGCTGGGACTACAGGCACACACTGTCATACCTGGCTAGTTAAAAAAAAAACTTTGTAGAGATGGGGTCTTTCTGTGTTGCCTAGACTGGCCTCAAACTCCTGGCCTCAAACTATCCTTCCACCATGGCCTCCCAAAATGCTGGGATTACAGGTATGAGCCATGACACCTGTCCATAATCTCGATATAAATGGTTGGTGTGATGTGTATATAATGGCTCACTTTCTCCTATTTCTATTAGAGGCCACATAACTATACCCAAATTGTAAGAGGAAAGCACAGATGGAATTTAAGGAGTACTTTTCCAAGCTAATGGTTGGTAAATATCAGAGAAGGTTATTAAAATTGCTTTTGGAATTTTTTCCCCCAGAATTTTAAATAAAGGAGTTACATTTGTGTATTTTAAATGGTTGCAGTGGTTGGAAGCAGAAGGCTAATTGATTAAATTATCTCAGTTTGGGTATTCTTGTTTTCTTTTGGGTCTGCCAGTGAGACTGGTAATTCTGATCTTCCTTCCTCTCTATTCTGTAGCTTCTTAATATAACTTATCTGTATACATACAGTTGTCTCCTAAATACATTCTCTTAATTCATGGTTGAGAGAATACACTTATTTTGTGGCAGCAAATTGCTCAATAGAAAGCCAGCTGATTTTTGAGTAAGATCTTCTGGGCTTTAATTCCAGCTTTTCTGCTTCTTAGCTGTGTAATCATGGGCAAAGTGTTAGTTATATTTACTCTACCTGAGATTACTTTCCTTACCTATAAAGGGATAATGATAGTAACACCATTCAAGGATTAAATAGGTTTGTAATGCACCCAGCTCAGCTCCTGGCACATAGCAGAGCTTAGGTAAATGCTTTCTTCTTGCTAACAAGTTAAATTTTTTTGTTGTTTTTTTGAGACCGAGTTTTGCTCTTGTCGCCAGGCAGTGCAGTGGCACAATCTTGGGTCACTGCAACCTCTGCCTCCCAGTTCAAGTGATTCTCCTGCTTCAGACTCTCTAGTAGGGATTACAGGCGCCTGCCACCACGCCTTGCTAATTTTTTGTATTTTTAGTAGAGACGGGTTTTGCCATGTTGGGCAGGCTCTCTCAAACTCCTGACCTCAGGTGATCCACCCGCTTCAGCCTCCCAAAGTGCTGGGATAAATTTGTTTTATAATTAACTGTAGTCACAACAATACTTAATATTCTTTGGCAAACCAGTAAGTGTCTAGAACTGTTGTTCTAGACCATGAAAAGGCGCTTATAAGCAGTTGTCCTCTTGTAGGAGAAATATTTGATATAATCTGTGCTCCTGAAAACCTGTATTTATAAAACTGATAAATATATTTGTTTTTCCTTTAAAACAGGAGTGTCCAATCTTTTGACTTTCCTGGGCCACACTGGAAGAAGAAGAATTGTCTTGGGCTATACATAAAATACACTATCACTAATAATAGCCGATGAGCTAAAAAAAAAAAAAATCACAAAAACATTTCATAATGTTTTAAGAAAGTTTACAAATTTGTATTTGGCCATGTTCAACATCATCCTGGGCCACATGTGGGACGAAGGATGGATAAGCTTGCTTTTAATGTATTGAATTAATCTTTAAATATTTTTAATTATATAAGTATTGCATAAATATATTTTTGTTGTAAAAATGATTCCCATCACTTTTTAGGACTAAGCCGAAGTTCTGTCCTTTAAGACATTTCTTTTCACTTTCACATCATGTTTCCCAGAGTGAATTATTTTTCAATGATCAGAGCTGTAGTTCAGGCTGCTGCTTCAGGAAACACAGAAGCTTGCTATAGAGATCTTCAAGGGAAGGTTTTATTTTATAATATGTATGTGTTTTAAAACATTTTAAAAATGTATTATAATTCAGTTTCTTTCAAAACAAACTTAACTGTTAGTCTTAGGTCTTTTCATTATAGTACATATAAATCCGTCTTATTCTTTACTGAGTGAAAATTTGTAGTTTAGTATAGAATACATTCATTGTATTAAAACCAGTTATTGAGAGCTTCATTTGCCTTCATATTAGTTCTAGGGTTGAAACTGCACACAACAGATAAAGGGCAGCTTCTCATATTGCTTGCATTCTGGTGAAGGGACATAAATAAATGAAAAAATAGAAGGTAGCTTTAAGCTGGCTAATAAAAATAAAGATCAACTTTAGACTGAGTGGTCCTGGAAGGCTTCTCTCAGGAGAGGTGACTGTTAAGTTGATAACAGAACTAAAAGAAGTCATAATTCATACATAAGTAGGGGAGGAGGCTGTACACAGAGGGAGCATACAGGGCAAAGGCCCTTTAGTTGGGCACCAGCATAGTGTGTTGGGAGACCATGAAGAAGGCAAAGGTGGTGGAGGGTTAGAAAGTGAGGATATGAGATAAAATTGGAGTTATGAGCCGGGCCAGGTTTCTTGCTCCTGGTAGGACAGAGTAAACATTTGGATTATTTTTGATGCCCTGAGAAGTGACTGAGGGATTTTAAGCTGAGGAAGTGATGTGAGCGTGATTGCTGTGGCAGATCAACCAGTTGTTTCTGTTTTTGAAATTTGGAATAGTGCTTCAGTGAATGAATCTTGTGTGTGCCTCTTTGTTCTTAGGTGTGAATGTTTCTCTAGAATAGGTAGGGTACATAAAAGTGAAAGCACCAGCTTCTAAAATATGCACATTGAAGATTTTTAACAGATACTGATGTATGGCCATTCCAGGCAACTGAACTTTAGCCTTCATATAGTAGTGTAGGAAATACCTGTTTTTCCAAGCCCAACTAGCACATTTTAACTCTTGCCAATCAGGATCTCACTGTTTTATTTTGGTTTTTAAACTATATCTTTAATGTTTATATATTTTTAGTGTGCATTGTACTGTTCATTATTCTTTTTCAAAATGAAGTATTTTCCAATGATCATAGCCATACTATGTTTAACCTATACCTTCAGGAGACTTTGGAACTTAATATAGATATCCTGAAGAGAAGGTTATTTTTATAATGGAATCATGACAGTAATGTGGGCCATTATTTTGCTTGCTATAGAAGACTTGCAGGATATGATGATGATGATGATGATGATGATGATGTTGAAGGTTTCATCCAAAACTTATAGTTTACTGAGGGATACAAGATAAATTATTAAATCTCTCTGACCCTTTGCTTCCTTATTCATAAAATGGGGATGACAAATGCACATCTCTCTGAATTATTCCAGTGATTAAATTTAAGGCACCCTGAATACAGAGTCTCAAGAAATGTGGATTTTCCTTTTCCAGCAAGGCTTGATGTGCAATTCAAGCTTCTGCACACCCGAAAACAAATGGGTCTTTCTGAGGCTTTCACCAGCTGTGAGTGAAAGGAGCAAGAAAATTGGTACTGAGTTTAAGACAGCTGTAGGGCCGGGTGCGGTGGCTCAAGCCTGTAATCCCAGCACTTTGGGAGGCCGAGGTAGGTGGATCACAAGGTCAAGAGATCAAGACCATCCTGGTCAACATGGTGAAACCCCGTCTCTACTAAAAATACAAAAAATTAGCTGGGCATGGTGGCACGTGCCTGTGATCCCAGCTACTCGGGAGGCTGAGGCAGGAGAATTGCCTGAACCCAGGAGGCGGAGGTTGCAGTGAGTGGAGATCGCACCATTGCACTCCAGCCTGGGTAACGAGCAAAACTCCATCTCAAAAAAAAAAAAAGATAGCTGTAGGGAGTGTTAGCACAAGGTGCAGGGGAAGACCAGGTGATTGAAAGGGTCACTTTGGTAAAAGAGCTTGATGCCTTTCAGTTTTCCCTCTCTCAGCAGCTATCAATAATGTGTGAGTTATAAAACACCCTCCAAATAGCTCATTGTTACTGCTAAGTAGACTTGGCACCCAAAGAGCTTTTAATTATCTTACTTTCTTGCTACCCAGAGTTCTTTTTCTGAGTGCTTGCTTCAAACATATATAGTATTCTGATTGTTTAGGCTTACAGATTTGTGGGTAAAAATTGAGAATAAACAAAAATATCTTTTTTCCTAGAGTCCATAATCCCTAGGATTTTTGCCTAGTGAATTTTGAAGGCAACGATCAACAAAATGAAGCTAAAAGCAATATTTTAAAGCCATAGTGATCAGTACTTTGTAACATTATGGGCTTAGCTGCTTTCTACAAATTGAATAATTGTTTCCTTTGGATTACTGGTATAGGTATGGAAAATTTATTTTTAAATTGCTTTGAAATGACTTTCCCAGTTTT